ATCAATGAAATCTCTTCCTGTGCTTTGCTTTGCATAATACAGTGAACTGTACAAAGTTGGAGGGTGCCCATGACATTGAAGTCACACAATTCTGCACATCTTCAATACACCTAAGAGAAATATCAACTCCATTCTAATCACGGCTGAACGCATGGATAAAAGTCACTGCATTATAAACCACTTAACACACATAGCAACTAAATCCTCAAACAGAAATGGACAAACAAGGTTCTTATAACAGTTCATTACAAAATTAACATGTACATAGACATCAAGCCCAAATGATGATGTTTTAAAAATGTTCTTCATTAATCAATTGCTCGTTTTTAAGCCTAATTAGAAAGTTCAAGTTTTTAAGAAAAGCACAACATAGTTTGAGCTGAGAATATGCTGTACTCCAAAACTTACAGTAAGAACACATTCATGTCAAAATTAACTGGACTCTTAAAAGAGAAAAATGCATCTATCAATTGTTGACATTTACTTTAAACACTTCTCAGTGATAAATGTTTGGGGTTTATTCCATTAAACAAGAAAGATGTAATCCATGCTGGGTGAAAAAAAAAGGGGGCGGAGGGGGGGAAGAGGACAACAAACAAGAAAAAAGTTCCCTATTTTTTTAAACACAGGTTTCCTCCAGATTAAATAGAAAGTATACAGTGCCTCAGGAGAACACAGCAAAACCATTAATTTTCATTATATTTACATTGGTTTTGTCTACCAAAACCTTTCAGAAAACCAGCTTCTATCCAAATTCTTAGATACTCACACAGCAAAATGGTTTGTTTATAAGTTTGACAGGTCATGCTATAACTCATGTTTGGTGGTTTCTTTCCTCCAGAAAACGTTTCTGCTAAAACAGGCGTGTTCACATACTCAGAGAATAACTACGACACAAAAGACTTCTAAAAACTTCACAGAGAAAACTTTTATAGGAAAAGACAAAGGTGTACTTCCTGATGTAAACTGCTTAACTGCATTTCTGCCACAATATGTGACTTACCTATATAGCTTTGAATGTTTCAAAAGACAGAGAGAGAAAGAGAAAAGAAAGAAACCAGACTTGGGAATTTTTTTATTTAAGTGCACTGTGGGTAAGGACAGTTTCACAACTGCCAGAGGAGCTCTCCAAAAACCTCTTCCAAATCAGAACTTCCTAGCTAAGATTATAACTAAGATAATGACACAACAAAAAGATCTCTGGTTTGAAACAGTGACTCTTGGTTAAAGTGAGGACCTTTTTAAACATCATTAATGTACTGTGTTAAAAACACAAGTAGGGCATTTTTTCCTAAATCAGAAAAATAAAGAGAAAAGAGATGGACAATGATTAAGTCAATTAGACCTTACAGACAGTGCTTACAATTAAGATTTTAGCATTGCTTGAACAGTTTAAATTACGAGAATAGAGCAGCTTGGACGGAGTGTTATTTGGTAGGTTGTATGTTTGCTGTTTTAAGACCTCCTTGGTTTTTCACTTCTACTCAAATGTGAGTTCAGTAGTGGGTCACACCTGGGCTTCTTCATTCAGTAACTTGTTTCCTTAGTACAGTAAAAAAAAAACAAACATTTATATTGTTCGCTTGGGATTTAAATGAAGGCTCCAATCCAGATCTCCAGAAACTGAAGATTCAAAGTTAATCAGTTTTAAGGTGATGTCCCTTCCCCATTTAAACTCTGAGAGCACCAGTGGCATTCAATTCTTTCAAACTGTGTTTCTAGAGGAAGATACCTTCTTAAAAGAGAAGTGTGGTAAAACAGAGTTTTAAGCTTTGATCTTAGTATTAAATTATCCTCCAATTTGTAGAAAAGTAATTTTACATATGATTATAAACTTTTATACTGTTTATACATCCATACCAACTGCTCTTCTCTAATTTCCCCAGATGATCCACTTGGGCTGCAACAAAGTTAGAGTAAAGAAGACATGCTCCAACATATGCATTCAAAACAACAAACTGATCACTTTTGACAGTTATTAATGTCTATGGGGTAAAATTGCAAGTTAAATGAAAAAACACTGGTTTTTAGTCGACTGAATAAGGATACATTTGATATTTTCTATGCCAAAAACATGGCATTAACAAAAACAGTAAGTCACTTAACTAGTAAGCTTTCTACCCTGTTTTTAATTTGATTTTACACTGGTAATTCAATACTGAACAATTCTATTCTTGCTGGGTTTTATCTTCAATTGTGCAAGATTACTTCATGAACACCACTTTTAGAACTGCTTCAATGAATACAGCAGGTGTTGATATTTCTCCTATCATCCCCATGCAAAAAAACACCACTTATTTCAAAGTGAAATTTGGAAAAAATTCACAAAATTTCACAAAAGTCAAAGATTCAGTATCTCCAGGTGCTTTCAGTTAATAAACACTACATCTTAAAATCAACACTTTGCAGACCGTTAACTGCATCTGTAAAATGGATGAGAATTTTCATTTTTCTGAAAAGCAAAAGAAAGAATCAAGTAACTGTTGCTTAAAGAAAAGAGAGAACATGCCTTACTGCACGTGCAAAAGGAGTAATATACAACTGAAGATCAAATAAAGTCACAGTGTTCAGCTGGGGGCAGGGGGGAAACAACCCTCATTCTACACCATTATTGGAACTGGCTCCGTGTTTCTATATAATTATTTTTCAGGAATAGAAAGGCAATTAACATTAATTTTTTAAACTACTATATGTGATTAGATGCTCTTTGAAAATAGCCAGCAGACAGCAAACAATGCCTTTATATAAAACTTTTAATTGAAAATATCCATAAGTCAATGCCATATCTGAAGTTAGCCAAAGCCCAACTATAAACACAGTTTAGTTTTGCTTTCTGGACACAGGAGGACAGATAGGAGTCATACTGAAAACCTGTTGTTTAGTCTCAGTCCGTAAAGGCTGAAGTACTCCATTCTCAGCCCCTCTTATTTTACAATCAATTGAGATTCCTTTGAGCAACTCGAAGTCACTCAGAATTCTTTCATACACAATGAAAGAAAGCTGATGGGTGCTATAACTTTTGCCCTTTACTGCTGAAGAAAATGAGTCTGCACAACAGACCTATTATTCTTCATCACTTGCTTTATTAATAATTTAATTTCTGTGACATACTGCAGGCTAGTTCGCTTAGCATTCCTTCTGTGCAAGTGGTCCTCTCATCTTCGTGAGGGCAAGAAGAGGTAGGTGTCTGGGATTAGTAATCTGATTCTCAAAGCATTCATCAATCTCAGAGAGATTTTTAATGGATGAGCGTTCTAAAGGTCTGAAGAAAATCAGATCTGAAGACATTAACGGATTAGCTGTTTCTTCAAAATTTACATATACAACAATGGCATAAAAGGCCACCATCACATTTGTCTGTGCAAATCTGTGCCAAACAACCAAGTCAAAAAGGGCATTCTACAACAAATACCCTCTTAATGTTAGAAACTTTATTCCTGACATAGCTGACACAGAGTTGTATGAAATATAACAGACTCTATAAAGAGTACGTTATATGTATTTTCACATCAAAATATCGGCACTATATGCAACCTGATCATTTTTTTTCAGAGGAACTCCTCAGACAGCCTCAGTTTTCTTTAGTTCTCTATTAACCCATCATTAAATACTTTTTGGAAGCTACTCTGTGTCACAACATACAGTGTGACAGAACCTAAAAGCTCTTTGTAATATCCATATGTTGTGTGAGTATCCATAGAAGTCGAAGAATCTTAGGTTCAAATGCCTTAGAACAACATTTTCAGAAACAGTATTTGGTGCATGAGACTTTCAGTAGACTGACTTCTGAAGTTTTCTAAGTATCAAAGTTTAGTTCTGTTGGTCAGTTCTGAAATTATCAGATGCACTCTTAAATACTCAGGTATTTATATTATAGTTTCAGGCTATCTTGAATCAATCCTTATCACTAATTGTATCCTAAACTGTTCACACCCAACATGTTTTTACCAGTGGCTGGAGATCATGCAGAAGAAACCGAATCACTCCTAAATTAGAGTCCTTTGTTTCAATGTTAAAGATCAAAAAGACAACACATTTACCTCTTAAGTACAAAGGTCACCTCTTAAGTGCATTCTGCCATGACCATTTCCTGAAGTAGTTTATTCTTCTGTGGTACATGAACGTAAATATGAACTACCCCATCTAGAATAACACTTAAGTAAATGTTCAACAAATATGTTTTTAAAAGTAACTAGGAAAATTATTACATTGAAGTATAGGATTCAAATTAGATCTGTATAAAAAAAAAACCACTGATACTTTCAAACTAATCATAAAACATAATTTATCATATATTATTTTCACCTAAACCTCAGAGTCCCTTATATCATCTTGTTGGTGATTAAAATGCATCAACTAACATTCATTTCAATATTTTCAACCACATAAAATAGAACATCTTTATAAGGCTAATCTAAAATTCTCAGATTTCACTACATTTGATTGCTTTGTCCAACACCTAAAGAATTTTCAGAAAAATCTGACACTACACACTATCAGGTTAACAGTCTGTTTTTAATATGAATTTCCTTATAAAAATAGCTTACAGTTGCTAAAATAACTATTTATTCATTACAGAAGGAGATGGACTAGTAGATTTTATTTCCCAGAAGTCACTTATTTTCCTGAAATATTGTTATATTTCAACTTGGTGATAAGAAATCCTGCAGGTTGCATGTGTTAATTTAAAGGGTTTACAATATAAAGCTACACTGCTATAGTGGGGCATACTTTTTAAATTTTACAAGTAATTTTAATTAGCTGTTCTGCCTGTAAAACTAGTAAAAATGAAACAAACAACAACAAAAAAACCAACACAAAAAACCCAAACAACCAAACAATTCGTTCAGATTCATTCACTCCTATCTAATGCTTGCTAGATTGTGTAACCATTCAGGGTTGGACCCATGATACGCTCTCTGAAGCTTCCAGCTGAATCTTAGTTCATTCCACCACCACACGTACTTTGCGCAAGTTGCCTTATAGTTAGATCAGCATACCTTCCGAGTTCAGCGTAATAAGCGTGACATTGTTCCCAATACTTTGGCTTCCTAGTTGTCCGCTGTTGGAAACTGAGTCACTGGCCTCAGAACCACTCTCTCCATCTTCATTGTGACTGTCGTCATGTCCTGGAACTTTCACCACTATGGTATTCTGCCTACGTCCAGGAACAGCACTATGGAAAAGAAAAGTACGTAACTTTGGGAAAACACAATCCTTGATCACAAATAGCATCATTATAAGGGGATTAAAAACACTAATTGACAAAATTAGATGTATTATAAAAGCAAGCCTACTCCTGTTTATAACTAAGAGCTATCCAGCAAAATAGAATAGAAGGAAAATGGCAGAAGAAATAAAAAATTTTAGATGCACACTTTCTAAATTTGCATCAATGGAAAAGTCTAGGCCCAGTGCATAAAGCAAAAAAAAATATTTAAATAATTTATAAAAACATATTACTTAAGAATATTTTCATCTCCAGTTTGACGTAATTTAACATTTGCCTTAGATAGTATGAATTTTAACAAGCCTTACTGGGCTACTGCACGCTCTTTCTTCAGCTGGTTAAATACAGGGTCTTGGCGTGCTCCCAAATGATCATACATCCATGTAAAAAACATGTAGCTATGGGCACTCTTTCTTTCAACTGCCAGATTTCAACTAACACTGAATTATCTAATCCCAGATTCTCCAAGATGTTCTCTCCCCAACAAGAGCGAAACATTGCTCTGTGCCTTCACTGCTGATATGAGGTTTCCTTAGGCAGCACTGTCAGCCTGATAAAATACTCAAGTACCGGTTCAATGATTTTCCCTCCACTATTACCTAGAACGTTCCTCATTTTGCACTTCAAATTACTGAAGAGACTGATACTGGTCTGTCAAAGGAAGAAACGAAGGAACTGCTACTAACTTGCTAAGGATATTTTCCAGAGAATCCGCTGCTCTGCTCAATGGCTCTTCCTGCCCAACCATCTTGGCTACAATTGAATTCTGCCGGTCATTGTTCAGTATTACTGTGGTCTGAGGGACAACGCTGCAAGACAAAAATCAGAGAGGAAAACAGAATGTAAAGAAGGAAATCTTATAAATAATACATTAACAGTCTTATAGTTTAAATAATCTACATAAAAACTCTAAGCCTTGCTCGTTCTCCCAGCATCGTGGTTATGTATCACATGCAAAAGCTGGTAATCCATTCAATTTGACATCTGTACCATCTCAAGTACTCAATTTTTTTTTCAGAGGACGGATGGCTTCAATGGAATTCTATAAAAGTCCATGACCCCTGGCAAAGTGATAAAGAATTCATCAACTCAAGATACACAGAAGGAAGTCTGTAAATCACAGCTTCAAAGAGCCACCAAATCCTTGTTTTGAAAAGTCTGAGTGAGCGTTTTCAGAGATGCTACAGACAACTTACATGGTAATGCACCATTTTTCATAGGTAATTCCTAGGAAAAAAAATGTAGAAGTATTTATTGCAAAATCAGATGGTGAGCTTAGTTAAAATGCATATATTGTCCTCCAGGCCTGGGGGCTTGTGGAGGATGGGGAGACGAGAGTGATACTAGGGGCATCAGAGCAGAAAAGAGACAGCTGTAACTTTAAATAATGACAAGACTAAATTATTTCTTGTTTGCATTTCACATACAAAAAAAAATAATCTAAAACAAACAACACAAAAGCATTTCGTGTGTGAGAAACCAGAAAGCCTTCTCTATCACTTATGATGACAATGTAGAAGGAAATAACTAGAGAAGTGTTGCATAGAAAAACATACTAAGTCTACACTAAAATACAAAAGTAATTATGAAGTAAATAATTGTCTCCAGCATGCAGCTTATAATCTAATTTGGTTTCAGAGATAATTACCACACCATTAGTCAATCTTCTAAGGCATGGTTTTGATATTTAAGACTGTTTCCACTGTGCTCATGGTAAACTTAAGGAGACAACTTAGAAGAACATTTGTGGTTTTGTGACAGAGAAGGCTTGCTTCTTTCTCTTTGCTTCCCACAGTAAATAGTCCGCAATTGTTTTTACTGGTCCAGCATCTCAAACGTGACTGACGGTCATTTATTTTTCCTAACTGTATTCCTTGGCTAATTGCTGAAACACAAATTAAACAAATCTGATGACAGCAACTCTCTGTTTATTTCAGCTGTAATAGAGTGCCTGCTTACTTCAATATTCACATGGCTACATAACACTTTATGTGCTACAATATCCATCGTTAAGACCTAAAGAAAAGATAAGAAACTGTCGTAACAGTCAGCAATAAATGGATCTCAACTTTGGCACAGCTAAAATGGTTGACCACAGTTTTTTTGGATATAAAAAGCCCCAGGGCCTAATGCCCTGCCTCCCTCTTACAGTAATTGCATCTGTTGCTAGCAACAAATGGGATTCCTCATGGACTGCCAATGATGTGTTGGACTGCAAACCTTGAGAAGCTCTGGAAGATGTTTGTCTAATCAAGTACAGAGTGTACTATAGCTTTCCATGTGTATATGAAATTCAAATTGCGTTAAGCAATAAATGGGGGGGTCTGTTGTTTTTTTTAGTTGCTATCTGGAGTATAAGGGTTTATGATGCTTTCACAGTCACCTTTTAAAAATTTTCTCCATTACCAAAAGGGAAAAAAATTGGACATTTCTTATTTTAAAAAAATGGCAACTTCTGTCTATTTTCTCAATGCCAGCACTGCACATTTTAAAAAAATACACCAAATACTTGGTAAAATACTCTGGCAGGAACTTCTGTGGCACTGCTAGCAGTTCCCCCAGTCTAGCAGCAATAAGTGTTCTCATTGCATTTCCCAAATTGTCCAAATAGCTACATTTTTTGAAGTTTTTACAGGCCAGTTTAAAATGTTTGAGAATTTTACAGTTCATTTTAGACATTGTTCTTTATCACCATCTTTCTTGCAATCACTTCTGAATGCCTGTTTAAAATGTCACTTACTAAAGCTTATTTTTAATGAACACTCTGAATAATTAATTTCAGCTGTAGAGATAAATTCAATAAAATTACATTTATAAAGTCCTCAGGATTTTGCTCCTAATAAGTTTCTATTTGAAAAAGAGTCTTAGCACTAAAACTTGACATAAAATAAGGAAGATGTTGGGGAGGGTTGCCCCCTTTTTTTTCCCCCCAGAATATTCATTTTTAAGGAAGACAATCTAGAGAGTGAGCCTGATGGCATTGGGCTAATTTAAGAAAATTTAGAATAAGGAAATACTTCCATACAACCCACCAGTACAGATTTATCCCCTCTTCAATGCATCAATGTATGTTCAAGCTTGCTTACTTCAATGCATAAACTTTTTTTTTTTTTTCCCAAATTTATCCCTAAACAAACGCCCATGAAAACACTGGCTCCTTTCTAAGAATTAACTTTACCCAGTAAGTAGAGTGGATGATTGACAGGAAAAATCCACCTTCACAGTTGTTTTGGGAGGAGCCACTAACTAAACATACCATTTTACTGACACATATTTTCCTGGCTATACAGCACAAAGGCAAAAACAGACACCAGATACACAAGGAAAACCTCTGTAACAAGCCACAACCACCACCAAATTGTCTATTAATTGTTTCACATTTGGAAATCAACTGTTATCAAGTTGTAACAACTCAAAGAATCTATATAAAGCAATTTGGAGAGAAAACAGTCGCACAGAAAGCACAGTGTTAGAGAACAGCTAAAATAAGCATTGGGAAATGTTCACCACAGCACAAGTCTACAACCACCAACGATCCTTCCTCTGTGATTAACCTGCCGGAGTAGATACTCTAAATCTAGTTTGAAAATAAATGAATGAAGTTTCTTGTCTATTACCAGGAACCATTAGTGTTGGATAAGAGATTATTTCTGTGTTCTGCACCTGCTAACACAGACTCCAGTAAAACTCAATTCTTTTTCAGTGTCAAAGCAGAAGGAATTTCTTACGTTTAATGCTTAACTCTTGAAGAATGATGCTTTCAAAAGCAGTCTGCATGAGGAAGATGAGGTAAACTTTCCATTCAAAATGTCATAAATGTTAACCAAGAAACTACGATTCTGGTCTACGTTCTACACGGAACAAGAATGGCTACAAAATTTGCCAACAAGTTCTGACAAGGAGGCATCCTGAAGAAGAAATTTTTTAGATCTGTGAAACTTGAGCAGTTACTTATCTGGAAGAAAAAGAAAATAACAATTGGGACCAATACAAGAAGATGCCATTATGCTAGAAAAGGGAGAGTTTCACAGGATTGTCTTAGACTCCAAACTGTACCCAGGAACAACAGATATTCACAAGATTCCCTGCAGATAAGGGAATGTGCTTCCCATTAACTTTCCTGGGAGACGTTCTATTCTGTTTTCAGATTTATTTACTTTAAAGAGGCAACAATAAGAAATCTGCTGAATATATACAAAGTTAAACAAAGAATTCTATGTAAAGTCAAATCATTAAATCAGGAAATCATTAAAACTTATTACAGCCTAGTACATTCTCATACTAGATTATTCTGATTTCTTTTTTCAGTCTGTACATCTCATAATGAAGATCAATCAACTTTAATCGTTACTTATGTACTAAAATACAGAAAACCAAAATCACAAAGAAGGACGAGGAAAGCTTCTGATATTCACTCAGATTCCAAATGGAGCAATTCCCTCTGTGAGTGCTGCCAGTACTATACTCATAGAGAAGATGGAAAGAAAATATTAAGAGGGGTGAGGGGGAGCGCTTCAGAAACCCAGTGTTGTTGCACAGGCTTCAGTACTTTCCATTTGTGTTCACATATTCCTTTCCCCATAAGCATTAGAACTTGGAGAGGCTGGTTCTGCAATTTGCCTGTTCTTGGACTCAACTTAGTAAAAAATGTAAAATGCATGCAACCTACAGATATTACTATATTTGGGGAAGTTTTTTTTAAATGCAGTTTAACAAATAATCTGTTAAATTACAAGTGAAAGCATTTCTACAAAAATAAACATATCAGATAATGATTTTCAAGCATGCATATTTAGCCTCTGTGGTTTTTTTAGATATAAAAGGACATTCTATATTTTGCATAAGAAAATTGGTGCCAAAGGTAATTTTCAGTATGGAAAACGTGTGAGTCATAGATATGATCATTAGTCTTAACTGTTGGGTTTTTATTGCCAATAAACTGTCAATCACACAGAATGCAGCCAATGACATAGAAGTACTTTTGGCAATAGCAGGACCATCATCTCCTCCTCTGCCCAGACGAAGTTTTCATTTAGAAAAAGAGAAAAATAAAGCAAAAGGAACTAACTGACATTTCTATCTTCCACAAGGTACAAGATCAAAAGCATTTCTCCAAATGGATAAGCACTACTTGTGGAAAAACTGGGACTGAAATTTTCAGACGAGAAGTTATTCTCCTTGTTTTCCTAGACACACTAATACAGACCAGTTAATGGAATATTTATAGCAGTGTTCAACCAGTTAAAGAAAGAAGAGAGTCCTCTGTTTAGACCATTTCTGAGCCTCCTTTGCACATGTGAACATCTGCAAGTAAGTAAAGAAGAGCTCAGAGACAGAGCTCAGCTTAGAGACATTCAGCTAGCCACATCCACACGAACTGTAGTTTCCTGTCTATCTAATACTTTGTGGTCACTACAACGCCCACACAGTGTGTGCTGCTTATCGGGAAGGCAGGGCTCCTGAGGATATCGTTCCCTTCTTCCTCTATCATACATATTACAAGGAGACGCAGAAAGAGAAGAGATCAGCAAGGCAGGAGTTGGAGTTGCTGCTGGCGGACTGCTTAGACTAAAGGTCTCCAGCCAAACACAGTCTTAAGGAAAGCAAGTCTGGGGAAGAGACCTTCACCTCTAGTGTTCACTGGTGGGGATGAACATGAAGACTTAAATGCATAGCTCATGCATGTGTGGGGGCTCTGGAGGAATATTACAATTAGCCCTACCAAGAAGGAAATCTCTATGTTTTTCAAATGGTATAGAAAAACACCATTTTAGACGTGTGGCGTTTTCCTTACTTTTTTTTTTTCTCT